TACACTAAAAAAAAGCACTGATTAAGAAACGGACCAGTATGTGACGACGTCACGATACTCAGCATTTATAAAAGGACTGAGGTGGAGTATTTTGTTTTTAGAATAAATTCGGTTATATTTTAAACGCGCAATTTTATAGAAAACATTTCTCAAGCTAATTTTGCTTTGCCAGGAAACATGAATTATAAAGAGGGCAATTATACCGTAGAATTTATAAGCGAGCTACGTAGATGTCTTGCTTAGTGAGTTATTTAAGGAATTTACACGTTGAAAACATGGAAGGCTAAATTTGAAAAAGATCTTATTTTCATCCGACATAAAAATAGGGCGCAGACTCATCGGAATACTTTTGTATGTATGTTCTGTGATAATTCTTAACCACGTTGTCCAAGTACAGTGATTACGTTATTATTTTAAGTTCTTTGTAGTCGATTTTTATATTATAAAAAGGTTAATTAAAACTCTGAAAGCCTCTTCTCCCATAACAAATATAAAAGCTTTTAGCCTCTGATAAAAATAAGTAATAACGGGAACCTCCAACTGAATTCCTTGATATATATATATATATATATATATATAAACTAGCTGGCCATTTAGTCTTAAAAAATCTTTGAATTCGCAATAAAAAATATTAAGAGTTACTTATTGAGATAAAAACTATCCTTTCTCTCAAGTTGGACCAAACAGCACAAAGTGTTCAAAATTTCATTGAAATCACTTCTGTAGTTTAGGGAGTTCATCGCGGACAAACAATGTGACACGGAATTTTTATATATAAAGATAAACATTACGTTATGTACGACTAATACCCCGTGCTATTCCAACTTTGCCGCATAATGACAAGGCCAGAGAAACACTTTGCGGCTCCGCCAGCCCTGGTCACCCATCTTCGGGAGAAGACAACTCTTCTCCTTATTACGGAGGCCATAAAATGGATTTCAACCAAGTTTCGGCTGCGTAGGGTAGGGAGAGCGGCGCCTTGCCATACCAATACTGCAACTCCCCCTTGGTTGACACACACCACTGTTTGGCCACCTCCGACCAGCCATGTGGATTTCTCTTAGTTCACCGTGTAGTCATAACCATTAGTGTAATTAGAGGAGAGTCGTATTTTTATTGAGTTGTGAAACTGAATCCTTCACCCAGATTTAACTCGAGTGTGGATCGTAACAGGCACTAATGGCTAAATCAAAAGGCCGCTTCATAACTGCCCTGTGGTAGCATAAGATAATCCATCACCCTGTTCTGTAGGCGAATTTAAATGAAAACTGACATAAAATAAAAACTTAATTTTTAGACGTAAGAAAATAAAATTTCGTTTATCAAACATCAATACGTTATTTTATCTACTCGTACTACTGTGCTAAAATGGCGTTAAACTTCCCGGAGAAAAAACGAAAAAAATTGCTACAAAACAATACACATTTTATTTATATATATTATAACAATACACAATTTACTTTTTATGTATGAAATATAAAACTAGTTTTTACGGATTTTGTCGCGTTTATTAACTTATTTTATATTCCCGACTTTTCGAACACTTTACAACACCCATGGTGCCTGCAGGGTTTTTATGTATGTATTACTCAAATGTGTAATGTTCACGAAAATATAAGAAATCATTATGAAATATAAATTTAATAATTGATTGGATTGCAGCAACGAAAAGTTCACCGACTCTCCATTATGCTTAAGCAGTATTGCTCAGCGCTGTTATTCTGTCGGTGCCACTAACCACCTAGAAGCAGTCATCAGGCATAGTACTACTAATAATGTACCCCAGACCAAATTTCACAGTACAGGATTATAGTATCCCAGTGTATGTACAAACACAGGTGCACTATCAATTTCTTTGCTCTTATAGTCCAATGCGACAATTAATCTTCACAATCAGGAAGAGATCAGGCGCAGAACTAACGGCTTTACTTTGCAAGGCACGGGGTGAACCTTCGCAAATTTTTTTGACTCCAGTTTGCTACTGACTATTAATATTTCGTGACAGAAAAACGACCTGGATTTCAAACACGAGACCTCGTAATCAGCAACCGCGTTTACGACTACTAGACCACTAGACCAAGGCAGTCAAAAAATTAAAGTAGTACTGCGATAGGTAAATATTGAACAAAAGTATACTATATAAAGCATTATCGCATAAAGTATAACGAGAAACTGTAAAAATAAACATCAGGAGAATTAAATTAAAGTAACAAAGCCGTAGCACTAGATGCTTTAGTCTTCTAATTTACAATTTATAACTTCAACACAACAAATCCTACAAATCAGAGTAATCAGACACGCACAGACACGCAACACGCACGGCATCAGCCGCAAAGATTAGTAAAATATTTATTTGAATCAGCCGTAAAGCCCCAATTTTAAAGGTCGTTTTTGGAACAAAAATTTTAGTTTTTAAAGGCATTTTTTACATATTATAAAAAGTATAATTATTATTTTATCTTTTTGTTGTTTGTATGTTATAAACTTAATCCTCTATTTTTCCACCCTCCCGCACCCGTTACCGTTCTGTGTATTTAATATTTGTTATACATTCAAAATATTTATATTTCCTCTTCCTATAATCACATACAGGAAGGTATAATAGGATGGATTACAAAATATATAACACAATAAGCAGCATCTTCCTGATAATAACAGAATATAAATAACAATCTGCGGTCGCCAAGCGTGGCGACAACTTGGGGGAGGCCTATGTTCAGCAATGAGATTTTCATAGGCTGTAGTGTAGTAGTTACTTTAATAATTAAATATTTTTTAAATCGTATGTAGAGACTTTTAGAGATAGATAAGAGATATATAAGCTACAATGAAGCAATAAAATATTAAAAAATAATGCTTTGCTCTTGTAAGTGGTAGAGCTAATCTGTAATTCTATTACCTCTGCAGCAGGAATGGGTTGTCTCGACCGGATTCGGGATTCGGAAGGTAAGAACCGACTTATTGACTAGTGGCAGCCATACACGATCAAGTCTACCGTCAAGTTTGCAGCGCGCTTGAAGCGGCGTGTATGGCTATGGGTGTGCATGACAAGTCTACTTGAAGCAAAAATAGAATTTCGATTCTGCCGACTTGATCAAGCTTGCAGCGTCATGTAAACTTGAACGTGTGTATGAGCGGTCAAGTATGCATGACGTTAATCGGCTTCGCCAAGCGAAGACGCGTGCACACGGTATATCGTAGAATACAACGAAGTGTTATGCAATGTATAAATATTTTTTTTTTATTTTGTTATAAAAAAAACGTTACCTACACACTAGGATTTTTCTTGTATCGTGGAGGCAGTTAACAAACATAAATTACACGAGGACAAACATCTACACATATACAAATACAAATATTTGTTCCGTGCGGGATTCGAACCCGCGTCCCCAGCGTTGCAACTCATTGCTAAGCCAAAATGTTATTGTTCAATGTGAGGAAGGTTAGTATGCAACAACGAGGAAAATTAATATTATAACAACGTGAACGTCTTTGAAACTGAGATAATTTACGTACTTACCATCTTAACCTACTTTAAAAAAGGAGGAGGTACTCAATTCGACTGTTTTTTTAATGTGTGTGCCCGCCATACACGATCAAGTTTACCGTCAAGTTTGCAGCGCACTTGAAGCGACTTCCGGTAAACTTGACGGTGTATGGCTAGCTGTGTGCAATGTGCATGACAAGTCTACTTGAAGCAAAAATAGAATTTCGATTCTGCCGACTTGATCAATCTTGCAGCGTCATGTAAACTTGAACGTGTGTATGAGCGGTCAAGTATGCATGACGTTAGTCGGCTTCGGCAAGCGACGACACGCGCATGCGCTATATAGTAGAATACACCGAGGTGTTATGCAATGTATTATTATTTTTTTTATTTTGTTTTAAAGACGTTACCTCCACACTAGGATTTTCTCTTGTATCGTGGAGGCAGTTAACAAACATAAATTGCACAAGGATAAATATCTAGACCCGGAACAATTATTTGTAAGTCAAACAAATACTTGTTCCGTGCGGGATTCGAACCCGCGTCCCTAGCGTTGCAGCAACTCATTGCTAAGCCAAAAATGTATTGTTCAATGTGAGGAAGGTTAATATGCAACATCGCGGCAAATTAACATTATAACAACGTGAACGTGCTTGAAACAGAGATAATTTACCTACTTACCATTTTAATAGACTTCAAAAAAAGGAGGAGGTACTCAATTCGACTGTTTTTTTAATGTGTGTAACCTCAGAACTTTTTTCTAGGTGAATCGATTTTGATGATTCTATTTTATTTGAAAGCTGGTGCTTATAATTTAAACATCACATATAAATTTGAACGAGATCTAACTAGTAGTTTTGGAATTATCTATACAAATAAATAAAATTGAAGTGTCTGTTTGTAATGTCAAAATTACAGCTTTTTACTAAATGCATATGAAAGTATATACGGTAATAATAACAAAAATACAATTTTTAAAGTTTTTGTGTGTCTGTCTTTCTGTTTGTTCCGGCTAATCTCCGAAACGGCTGGATCGATTTTGACGGGACTTTCACTGGAAGATAGCTGATGTCACAATAAGTAACTTAGGCTACTTTTATTTTAGAAAAAGAATTAGGGTTCTGCGCAAAAAAATTAAAACCCCAAATAACACACGGGCGAAGTCGCGGGGAACAGTTTGTCCTTAATAATACGTATTCGTATTGAAGTCCGTTGTACAAAATTTTTAATTTCATTAGTTGTCTCTCTTCCTCTCTTTTTAAAAAAAAAGTTACCTCCACACTAGGATTTTTTTTTTGTATCGCAGGGACAGTTTACATACATATAACAGACCCAGAACAGTTATTTGTAGGCCATACAAATACTTGTTCCGTCCGGGATTCGAACCCGTGGCCCTTAGCGCTGCAACTCATTGCTAAGCCACTGCACCACGGAACCGTCACTTGTCTGTTTCACATTTTTTGCTATTTACTATTGAGATAATTTTCTTCGTTTCATTAAGCAGTTTTTGCACCACACCGAACGATCTTTCCTTTTTGTTTTCTTAATAGCGAGCAGTAAGCCTAGGATGGCTAACGCATCGTCGTCTGTCACTAGTGACGCCATGGTTTCAATTGATGCGGCACCGTGCAAACTTGACGGCGAAATTGAACGTGTGTGGTCTATATGAATGCACTGCAAACTTGACGCCGCTTCAAGCGCGCTGCAAACTTGACGGTAGACTTGATCGTGTATGGCTGCCATAAAGCTGTCCTCAGTGCAAGGATTTGCATAATATAGGAATTGTTTATAAAACACAACATTTTATCACAAATAAGATATCCTCTATATTCAACATTTTTTGTGCATGTTTGGTAACTGATTAAAATGATTCTTTATTTTATTAAGTAGGCTATACCTCAAGATGGTCCCATATAAATTCGAAGAAAAATTCCGCTCTTGATGATGCAAAAATAGGGGTGAGGTTTTTATTATAATATATTTAGACAAAATTTTTCTTGTTACCTGCCTTACGTTGAGCTTGTGATATTGTTTTAACCACTCAAAAAGATAAAAAAAACCATATAACAAGTAAAAACTTCAAAAATTTAAAAAAATCCATATAATGGCTTTAGGAATTGGTTTACATAAAGTGTATCGAAAATAAAAGGACCTTTTGCCTCAGTAAAACATATTCAATAAAATAAAAATAGTATTAAATCTCTTCTTCTGAATTTATAGAGATCATTATAATTATTTATTTTGAAAAGAATACTTTTCTTGTGATTTTGCACATTAAAGTATTTATTGATTTTCATTCAAATAGGTGAAACAAAAAGACCGTACTCTTCTACCTATAGATATAATTGTGTCGCATACAATAAAGCGAGATAGTTGGCGTCCCGCACACATCTTAAACCTAGTCATATCCCACTACAATATGCACTATGCAGTAGTGTACAAGCTTGATTGTGAATGTGTTTTTTCTTACATAGAACAAACAACAAAAAGATCAAAAACCGGCATAAAAGAACATAATATAGCTAATGTCAAGTAAGGACGCTCCGAAGAGTCTGTAGTATGTCATCATGTTTAGAATCGTCCCAAATGTTACATGATATTTAATAGGCCAATTCTCGCAAAAGAAACCGATTGCTACCAATAGTGATTCTCAAGGCTAATGAAATTTAAAAAAAATATCCTAATTACAAAGGAGAAGATGGCTGGGGGCTACTATTTGCCTGGGATCCCATAATTAATAAAATTAAATCCAAACCCAAACAAACTACAGGAAGACATCAAGACGCTGTAAGCTTGTTCTGAGTAAACCGGAACAAAAATTAATATATAAAAGTTGCAGTTCGCCGTCGTTAAAAATGACATGGAGACGCCAAACAAAGCGCCCGTACCGAAAATATATTAAAATTAAACGGGATTAAACCCGTAAAAGTTTTATTCAATGTGTACTATTAATACATAGGAAATACATATTTTCTCCCAATATCAACTTGCAACTGCAGGCAGCTCACTGTGCTGATTGATGGCAGGGAACTATAGCTAAGTACAACAGACTGTTGATGGGTACGGCATTACCAGTGCTAGGGTTTCGGATATTCGCTAACTAATTGCGATGTCTAGCGTTGCATTTCTCGGAGGAGTTTCCTCTTATCACCTCTTTTAGGAAATAAACGGCTTCTAGAGCTTTCGAAGACTATTTTCAGCAGTGAAATGTAAAATGAAGCCCAAATTTTTATTTAAGAACACTTATCTCAAAACAATACAAGTTTTATATACTTAAATAGTCTTAGCTCAATAAATCTCTACCGAACTATAAGCCACTTTTGAAAATTGCATCAATATCCGTTCGTCCTGAAAACGCATCACATGGAAATTATGTGCGTTTCCATCTGGATGAACAAACGCATAAAATAACAAAAATCGCTGTTTTGATTTATATACCGGTGTCATGTTTGTTCTCTCGAAATTGATAAACTTATAGTAAAATTCAGTCCTACTAATATTATAAACGTGAAAGTTTGTGAGGAAGCATGGAGGTTTGATACTCTTCTTCGCAAAAACACCTGATGTTATTTTAATGGAACTTTACAATAATATAGCGCATACAGCAGAAATCACATAGGCTATAATTAATAAAGATATTGTGTAAATTGGTTCAAATATAACGATAAGTATTAAGTAAGTCGGAAAAATCTGTCATCTGCGAGCTACTTTGCCGTGCGGTGCAAAAACTGCAAGAGTTACACAAACATAATGTGTGGTGGAATTGTTTCTCCTAAATAGTTCTACAAAAAAGTCTGTATATATGACAGTATAAGTAAGCCATTATTATCAAAATAGTGAACCACAAATAAAATAAAATTTGATACTTTATTTCCAATGCACATTTTAAATGGTTTTTATCAAAATAACTACTTTAATCGCTTCTGGTGTTCAAAGAAGATGACTTTTCAGTTCTAGGTCTGGTTTTAGGTCTTTTAAACTCCGTAAATTGGGCGGTCGGGCATATTGCAAGTGAAGTGGGGGGACATCGCTCATCGCCGCGTGAGCAAATGTACCTCTTCACACTTAAACCACCTAACCGATTTAGATGAAATTTGGTATCGAGATATTTTAAGTCCCGATGTATGTAATAAAAGCCTTGAAACTAACTAAATTGGTAAGCCTTGATCACGGAAATCATCCTCAAAGAAGGTGATGGAATTTACTATGAAATTGCGGTTATAGATTTTTTTATAGGATAAGGGTGACAACCGAGCACACAGCCCACCTGATGATAAGTGGGTGGTGTGGTCCATAGATATCTACATCTATCGCAACGAGGATTCGTTTTCAAATCAAAATGCAGAAGCGTTGTCAGCCGTGAAGCACACAATACGAAACACAGCAGCATTGAGCTGCTATTTTACGCTGGTATTCTGCGAAAGCGTGGTCCCTCCCGATCGAGCCGACCTATTCGTGCTACAATTATACAATTAATATAGCTGCAGCATGGCGCTACCACGTATATATGTTGTATCACCTATGGGTTAAAGTATAAAATCTACGTGGACGAAGTCACGGGCAGAAGCTAGTATATCATAAGTTCGACGTTTTTCTTATCTCTTAACAAGTTATTACTGAGCGTGAAGCAATAACAAAATAAAAAACTTTATCTTAGTTCCAACTTCATCTTATTGGTAAAAAGGATTTCTTTTGAGAGAAAAGTTTCATCTCAAAGCGATCAGTTTCAGCCGCAAATGGAATATTCTTAATAAAAAGTATATCTCGTAGTACATAAGACTAACGAAAATTAATCACTGTTATCATTACAGCCCTTCACAAGTCGACTGCTGACTAATAGATTTTCCTAAAAATGACTATAAATCATGAACTTGAGGAACCTGCATCCATCGGCTTCCTTCAGTGGGAGTCGCTATCTTCGCTTACCGGTTCGAGGCTGCCACTGGCGAACTTTTCTTCCTGATAACTGGTGATAGGTTCTTCGAGCTATATGGCCAGTCCATTGCCACTTCAGCGTACTGATCCTTTTCACTATGTTGGTTACTCTAGTTTGCTGTGGTTATCCTTATTACGAAGTTTAAGCAGGGAAACGCCAGGCCATGCCTTCTCCATAGCTCGCTGAATGACTTGGAGTAAATAATCCTAATACGGCCAGCAGTGAAGAGCCACACAGTTCCATAAAACTATAAATTAACCCGATTATAAGCTTAAGGCTCTCGACATAAGGCATGTTTTTTTTTATAGAAGAGGGGGCAAACGAGCATGCGGCTTACCTGATGGTAAGTGACAACCGCCGCCCATGAACAACCGCAACACCAGGGGAATCGCAGATGCGTTGCCGGCCTTTTAGAAAGGTGTAAGCTCTTTTCTTGAAGGTTCCTAAGTCGTATCGGTACGGAAAATTCGCTGGTGGTAATAAATTCCACAAGGAAGTTGTGCGAGGGAGAAAACTTCTTCTAAATCGCACAGTGGTGGACCGCCAATCATTCAGATGGTATGGATAGTAACGTGAGTTTTGTCGCGATGTGCGATGGTGAAATTGAGCGGCTGAAATTAGCCCGAACAATTCCTCAGAGCACTCCCCGTGATAGATGCGATAAAATACGCAAAGAAATGCAACATCTCTACGCAGTGCCAATGTATCGAGCCGATCAGAAAGAACTCGGTCGTCGACGATTCGAACCGCTCTGCGCTGGATGCGGTCAAGTGGAAGGAGCTGGCACTGGGGTGCCCCGGCCCAGAGATGAGAACAGTATTCCATGTGGGGCCAAACTTGCGCTTTGTAAAGTTGCAAGCGATGTGCCGGCAAGAAATACCGTCTCGCTCTTCTGAGCACGCCAAGCTTTTTAAAGGCCAATTTGGCTTTCCCTTCCAAGTGACCACGAAACTGCACACTATTCGATATGTCGATGCCAAGGATTCCGATACTAGCTGAGGCAGCAAGGAGAGTGCCTTGAAACTGAGGAGATACGACAAAGGGGTTCTTTTTAGCGGTAAACGCGCAAACTTGTGCCTTCTGGGGATTGAACTGGACTAGATTTAGTCGGTCCCAATCCGAGACTTTGTTAAGCAAAGAATCGACTTCAGACACAAGTTTGTCCCGGTACTCAGCGACGTTTTCCCGAGAAATATTGGCACGGCCGGTATATAAGGCATCACCAGTGCTGTCGTCCGCATAGCAATGAATGCTACCAGTTAGCAACATATCATTGATATGCAGGAGAAACAGCGTTGGTGATAGCACGCAGCCTTGTGGAACACCAGCGTTGATAGGTTTGAGATCAGAGCATGCACCTTCTACTACGACCTTGATGCTCCGATCAGCAAGGAAACTGGTGGTCCATTTGCACAATTTCTCGGGAAACCCATAGGAAGGAAACTTCGAAAGAAGCGCTTTGTGCCAGACCCGATCGAAGGCCTTCGCTATGTCCAAACTAACGGCCAATGCCTCCCCCTTGGACTCTACTGCATCCGCCCATCTATGAGTCAGATAGACTAGAAGATCACCAGCTGATCGACCTCGACGAAAACCGTACTGGCGGTCACTAATCAGCTGGTGATCCTCAAGGTACCTCATGAGCTGGCAGTTTATAATGGATTCCATTATTTTGGAGAACAAGGAGGTGATGGCGATAGGCCTGTAGTTGGACTGGTCTGAGCGGTCGCCTTTTTTAGGGATCGGGTGGACCAAAGCTGTTTTCCATGAATTCGGGACTACGCCTTGGGAGTAGGAGTACCGGAAA